CCGACTGACTCTCATTAAACTCGGTTGTCAAACCAAATAGCTGCCCATTGACATTAAAGTGCATCGTCACTGTGAATGATTAAGCTCACATGCTTTTAATAAAACAGCTGATTTTCATTTGATAAGATTATTTCCTTCCTCTAGATTACAAATATGAAAGAATAATGATTAAAAGCCAATTATTTAATACCATAATTAAAAATAAATTGACAAAATACTAATATAGTGTCATTTGCAGATGCACTGTAACAACTTATTTGACACAAAAAGGCATTTACACTGAGACTGTGACTGGCTGTTGTTATTAGGAGAGCCTAATAAATACTTGCCATCAGGGCTTTCACAGAGGTCCACCTGTAGATATCAATGACATGGATTTTACCAGATTGGTTGCATATGATCATGTCTCATTGTGCTTAAATAACTATATTTTGAATGTATTTCTGCACAATAACCGTGTTTAAATTCTTCAGTTTTCTCTTGGTATACAGAGGGACAATGGGAAGGTTCACCTTGTCTTATTAGTGAATAGAAGACTGTGCTATTCAATTACTGTGTTTACACTTTTTCATTCACAGTGATCTGCAGTGAATGGGACCTTTGCAGTACTGATGTCTTTTCTCAACTTCATATATTTACATTCAACCTCAACAATTTCTACCAGCATCAAAAATGAATCCTAGAAAACACAAACAGTGGTATCTGTGTACAGACATGTAGATACATTTTTCAGGAAGCACACTTCAGTTACAGGACAGTTACAGCAGCTATAAATCTTACACTGTGACCCCTGAATGCACAGCTATAGATCCACCTTAATAATCAGCCAATTCAGCAACATGATGAAGTGTTTTTTGATCAGCATAAAAGTACTTGTCTAAATACTATGCTATACTTATACTACACTTATTTGGCACCTTTTAAGATGAAGTGACTTGTATTTTAAAATACAACACATTGTTAAAGATGACTGATTTATCTGGTGTCCCTGTATATAAAACTGTATATAGAGCAGTTCAAAGCAGCTCCATTTCCAGCAGCTACAACAGCAACATGCTGCTGACACACGAAGCTAGACAACTGACTTTTATCTTTCTGCATAAACTGTAGTGAATCCAGAGAGATAAAGTAGGTTTTTTTTTAAATTTGGGTAAAACAGTACACAAGCATATTTTCAGGTGCAGTAATGGTGTCAAATAGTAGATGTTCTATGTATATGAACTATCAGAATACTCAAACCAAATTAAATTCATGGGAGATATTAAATTTGCAGTCTCATAATATAGATGACAGGGATAATTAAAATCTTGAAGCAGATCAATTCTTTGAAGGCAGAAAAGATTTTTCTTCCTTTTCTCTCTCCTTTCATTTCTGTGGTTACATCTGCTTCCTCCAGTCTCCACCCCTCACCTCTCTCATGTACTGTTCATGGCAACAAGTGGTTCAGTGTGTAAAAGTGCTGCCTTCAATAACACTACTTCACTGGCTATTACAATGATTTACTCTGGACCATGTTCAGGGCTGGGGATCTAATTGAAAGCAAGCTAGATTCAAACCTCTTTCAACACTGTGTTGTAAATTCACTACAATGGTCACAAATGTAGACAAAAATGGCCTTGGCCGTGTAAAGTTTTGTCTCCACTGGGTGATGGCGAACAATGGAGAGAGGCAGACGGCTCTTTAGAGTGAGGAGAGGAGGCAAAGTTCAGAAAAGTTCATTCACATCGTTCGAGGGCTGGACCAGCGGGGATAGGATGGCTGGACATAAAGGTGTCAGCTACAATTTAGTATTACAATTTGGCCATTAAACTGAAACTCTCAGCCACAGTGACTAACAATAAGTACAACAGTTCAGCATTTGTGGATCCAATAATTGCAAGTAGCACAGTAATAAACAATGGCCAGGGACAACAGTACAATGCTAAGAAGCCGGCGTGGATTGCAGGGATGCTGGGTGTAAATCAGAACGGCACCAATGAGAGAAACAACTTGTAAAAGAGGCCAAAGCACATCTGCCAGTGAGGCTGGAGAAACACTGGCTTTTACTTTTACCAGTGAAGACTGAAGAACTGCAAATATGTGCAATCAGAATGTTTCATGCTGATAATTACACTGACAACACTTCACATTGTTCACTGTCAAGGCTCTTCAATGAATTGTTCTTATAACATGGTTAGCTACAGCGAGGGAAATGTGGTGTTTACATGCAAAACGTGAGTCAGTCAAGAAGTCTCGTTCTGTCCAAAGTTCAAAAATATACCTACCAACACCTCTGAGGCTCACTGATTAACACCATGTATCTGATGTTTGTGCTCACATGTTTCTGCAACAGAAACAACAGCAGGTGCAGCTTCCTGAAGTCTTGTCACCGCAGTGAGGTTGCTAGGTTTGCCACTGTGCCTGTGCAGAGACCAAGACCTGTGCTCATCAACAGTATCCAAGAACCTTCACTACAGCTTGAGACACTACACAAAAGTGGTGGGCAGATGAACATACTGTTGTGCATTTTTACATTTAAATTTAAACAAGCAAGATGCATCATGTAAGAGGTGAGGTGAGGAAGAGAGAGCTTTAGAGGTGCAGGCAGGAATGGGTTTCAACTTTACACAGAGCCAGGCTAGCTGTTTTCAGTCTTTATGCCAAGCTAACCTAATCACATCCTGATTCCAGTATTATCAGTGTTGACCTGTTCCTTTAAAGCCAGTCTACCACTTATACTAACCCTTTATCATTTATAATCTTCTGTAAAGTGTCCTTGAGTGCTGTGAAAGGCGCTGCCAAATAAAATGTATTATTATCATTATTATTATAAGTCAAATTTTTGCTAATCGCTCATTAGAAATGGAGAAACTTCCATCCATGCATTATCTATACCGCTAATCCTTACAGGGTCGCGGGGGGCTGGAGCCAATCCCAGCTGACATTGGGGTGAGGGTGGGCTACACCCTGGACAGGTCGCAGGTCTATCATAGGGCTGACACGTAGAGACAAACAACCAGTCACGCACACATTCACACCTATAGGAACTTAAGAGTCACCAATTAACCTAATGTGCATGTCTTTGAGAGGAAGCCGGAGCACCCAGAGAGAATCCACGCAGGCACAGGGAGAACATCCAAACTCCACACAGACTTGAACACGCAAATCCACACTTTTTGACTGCGTTTAAACACCTACAACAATAATCCATTTACAGTTTGTTATCCTAAGAAGAACCTTATCTCTGACCCCGCAGCAAACACGTCTCCATGATACTGGCTCACTTACTCTGTTCCACTGGAGGTCTATAGTGGTTCAGTGCCCTGAAACTGAACTGATCAGTATGAACTCAGTTTCACCCTCCGTGCTCATCTGTCAGGGTCATCAGCCCTCTGCTTTGCTTTCCCACCTATGGATCCCAGATTTCTCTCCTATTTTCCTTTTCCTCTCACAACTTATTGATTCTGTAAGGGTGTGTGTGTGTGTGTATGTGTGTGTGTGTGTGTGTATGTGTGTGTGTGTGTGTGTATGTGTGTGTGTGTGTGTGTATGTGTGTGTGTGTGTGTGTATGTGTGTGTGTGTGTGTGTATGTGTGTGTGTGTGTGTGTATGTGTGTGTGTGTGTGTGTATGTGTGTGTGTGTGTGTGTATGTGTATGTGTGTGTGTGTGTGTGTGTGTGTGTACGTGTGTGTGTGTGTGTGTGTGTGTGCATGTGCGTGTGTGTGTGAGTGTCTCGGAACCACCCAGTTAAATACATTAACTGTCATCAGCAAACTTTACCTTACATTCTTGAATAAACCAAAGAGAGCTGCTCTTTATCTCATCCAAACACAATCAAACAGTAATCACTAATGACTTTCTTCTCATTGGTAGTCATTATACTCTATGTTTTGTAATTATAATGAAGTTGTGATTCCTCTAGTTCCCTTAAATTAAATGTATGGATATTCTTGGTGCAAGATGACCAGTACAACAGTTTTAAAGGTCCCATATTTTTTACTTTCCCAGGGTTTTATTACTATTACTAAGTTTTGATCCATAAGAAGATCTGTGTTTTTAAGTATACCAAAAATAATCTTAATGTAGTTTTGCATCTCCTCTCTCAGGCTTCTCTCTAGAGCTCTAACAACAGGTCAGTGAGCCAATCATTGGCATTCATTGGCTGACTGTTTTCTGAGTGATCTAATAAAAATATAGCAGATTTCAGGTAAAAGAGAGACCAGATCCTGCAAGGTTGGATGTTGGGTTCAGGCGGGTGGGGCTTGGGGCATGGCTGAGGGCGGGGACTGCTTTGTTGTGACATCACAAAGTTCCAGAAGTCCTGACGGCTGGTTTTAAGGCTCAGTTTCTGAATACAGGCTGTGTGCATTTCTCTGTGGACTGAGGCTTTGATACTTTCACAGTATTAATATAGAACCTAGACCTGATCTATAATCAAACAACACATGGACATCTACCTTTATACTATACGGGACCTTTAAAATAAATGATGTATAAAATACTTATTTTCTTTCTTTCTGGGAGTGAGATGAGAAATCATTGGTTAACCACAGTTGCTGAACTGAATGCACTGTCAGGAGGTCATGTACATTACACTTCAACCCTTTTATTTCATGTTTTTTAAATGAAACAAAAATACGAGTTAATCAAAAAAAGGTTTTATTAAATAAAAAGCCCATACAATGTATCATAAGTCACTTAAATAAGTTGGGATAAGACACGGAAGTTATATAAACATTCTCTACATTATATATGTACATAATCCTATAGATACACCTCTGAGTTGATTAAAGTGTTCCATGTCTGTGTATAGTGCCTTGCGTTTAGTTTGTTCATATCTTCAAAACAAAACAAAAAAGAATATATATATACAAATTCAAAGTATTAACACCATTATATAAAGAGTGAAACAGTTCTCAAATCATCTACAGTATGTACAATTCATGCCAAAAGACCACACTGTCACAAATGCAGCCTTTTATGCTTCCTAAGAACACCTGAGTGCTTCCTTGTGTATTCCGAGGTAAAACACACTGATTCAGTAAACAACCCCTCGTCAGTTTAATTTTGTACATAGCTGGTAAACTTGGTTGGCAGATTGTCCACAGGATAGAGAGTAGGTCCAGTTTTCATGGTGGGCGGCCCGTTTAAAAGAGTCCAGTGACACTGTGTGACCACTTCCACCAGGAAGATCTTCAGCAGCACTTTGGCAAATTCCTTCCCCACGCACATCCTGGAGCCCCCTCCGAACGGGATGTACTGGAACCTGGAGGAGTCGCCTGAGAATTCAGTCATGAAGCGCTCTGGCTGGAAGTCTTCCTTGTTGGGGAAGATCTCTGCCACATCGTGGGTGTCACAGATACTGTAGATGACGTTCCAGCCTTTGGGAATTTGGTAACCCTGAAGTGGTGAGGAGAAAATAATGAGTAAGCAGCTAGTTTGGACACATGCCTGTCAAGTGCATGGTCTCTGAACACTAGACACCAAGCTGCCAAATAAATAACCTTCACAGAAATCTTTGTTAACTTACATTGAGTTCAAAGGTCTTGAGGGCCACTCTGAAGCCTCCAGGGACAGGAGGGTTGAGCCTCAGGGTCTCTTTAATGACACAGCCGGCGTATTTTAACTGCTCTAAGGACTCGATGTTCAGGTTCTGGATGTCCATCCCCTGCTCCTCCTGAACACACAGAAGCAAACAGAAGACAGAGTTAACCAGTGTCATGATGACTGGTGAGGAATACAATAGTCCTGCTTGTTCATTTAAGCCTTGTTATTTTATAGAACAGGAATAATCTCAGTGTTTGAATCAAACCACAGCGCGTGGTGCTATGAACTGAAAACAATCTAACAATACTTCTCTAGCTTACTGTAAGCTAGCTCGTTAGCCCTGGTGGCCCTCCAAGTTCAGACAAGTCTTGTTAACCAATAACTGGAAACACACACAGTTTGTCATGGATCTGAGCAGCTCAGTGCTGTTCATTTGACCTGGCTTCACCATCCAGCTCCTGCTCAGGGTTCAATATGTCTTACATTTACTGGTTTTAATGGGAAAGCTTCGATGTAGATCTCTGTCTATCTCTATAGTGTATACTAATCCTACTGTGTATTTCAATATAGTAACTTTATTACTATAGATAATGGCAGGGACTTTTCCCCAAAAATAACATATGCTAAGCTGCCATGTCATTGTCCACTTACTGCATTTTCTATCAAGGTTTTCAGCTGCATCTCATGGTTTTCCTCAGCAGATGCAATTTTTCTCAGTTGTCATCATGTGACCAAGGTATGACAACTGAGCAAACTCTATTTGCTGCGGAAGGCCATGAGATGTGTTTGGAAGCTCAGGAAAGGTGGCAAGCTCACTTTAAGTCAGCAACTGTTTTCAAGGTTGTGCATAACAATTAACTATGATGGCGCAGTCTGCAGTGTAATTACCTTGTCCATTAGTTCCTGCCTCAGTCTGTCCAAAACTTCAGGGTTCAGGCCCAGGAACATGATTAGAGAGGTGGCTGTGCTGGCTGTGGTTTCATGGCCCCCGAACAACAGCTCTGTAGCAGATTCCTTAATGGCCTGGACACAGAAGAAGACACACAATTAGCTCAGAACCTAAATAAAACAATGGCTCATAAGCAGGATAGAAGACATTAGAAAGATGTTGCTTGTTTTTTCATTACCTGCATGCTGATGGGCTCTCCGTTCTTCCTGCTACTGTCTATGAGCTGCTGCAGAGCGTCTCTGTGACTGGACCCCCTGTCTGACTCCTGCACCTTCTTCTTGATGTTCTCCTCGATCTTGGCGTGGATGAAGTTCCTCGCCTTCAGACCCTGGAGGACGAGACAGATGGCAGGAGGAGCAGGAACGGAGCCGAGGATTGAAAAGGGGAGGGTAGAAGAGAGACAATGTGAGGAGATGAATTCGACTGCAATACTATACTTGCATTCATACAGAGACATTACTACAATCATTTCTCTTTTCTACTCGCCTCATGTGAGGTGCTTGTTCTGACTTAAAGGACCATACCGGAGTTTTTCAATGTTTTAGCCCATTCGTATGATCCATTTACATTTCAGGCAGCCGTTGGCTTCCATTCATTGCATTTCTAGACTAATTTGTGTGAGTCATATAATCCACCGTGATGAATATCATGTGTTTGACTGTTGATGTCAGTATGCTTTCAAATATGGTTTACTATGAGGTAACATGCTAAATTACTTGTACGGTCCTTTAAGTTTGAAGCACCAAACAAGTAAAGCTACATGCGGCTTATGAGTTCGTCTCTTACCCTGTACAGTCCGCTGAAGGGCACGTCGATGGGCAGAGAAAACAGATTCTTGATCATTTCCTCAAAGGCTTCCACCAGCTGCTGCTCGTCAGTCTTGATCTGCTCCGGCTCAAAGCCCAGCAGGATCCTCATGGCTATACGGAACATAAGCCGCTTCATCTCCGGGTAGACCAGCACACAAGAGTCCTTCGCCAGCCACTCCTTCACCGAAGCCCGCACCTCCTCCTGGATGACGGGGATGTAGAGCTCCAGAGCCGTCCTAGAGAAGGCCCGCATGATGGCCTGGACAAGGGCAGAGGTGTGAATGGGGGGAGATGGAGGATGGTGGTTGGGGGGCATTATTTTCCACCCAAACATCCAAACCAAATTTCTGAGTAATGACAAGTTACTCCTCATATCTGCTCTATTAGCAGATATGAGGACCATATAGATCCTGTTACGTTGTCTTAGTGCAAAAATCTTCTTCATCAGGTAATTTGTGTATAATTCAGACTTTAAAGTTTATGTTTCTGAGATTAAGTGAAACAATCCACCACTGCATTAAGAATGTCTCAACCTGTTTCCAAGTGCAAATCACCTCATTTCAAGTATTTTCTAAAATCAAAGTGGACTTTTCTGGATTCTTGGTCTTATTGTTGTTTCAAGACACAAACATCAACCTCTAGAAAATCCTTTAAAAAGATGAGTTCACATAACTGCACCAGCCTATAAGATTTCTAGTATCCAGTCAAATGACTGTGGCTACTTATTTGTTCTGTGTGATTATTGGACACAGAACTGAGACAGTACATCACTTATATTAGTGAAACAAAAACTGAAAGATTATATATTTTCTCCTCGTTTTACTGTTTAATCTCCAATCAAATCTAGATTTACTGTAATTAGACTACAGTGCCATTTCTCTTGATGATGAGTGAATGTGTCCATAACGGAGGTAATTAGAAAGTAATAATAGTGTGAGCTCTACTGAGCAGATAACAGCTCAGAAGTCGTGATACTGACGATTCACACTGAGGTGAAGTCAAATCAAATCCTGACTTACCTTCTTTTTGGTCTTGTGCAGGGCTCCGTGTACGTTAGACAGCGTGTCCGAGCCCAGGATGGTGCGCACAGACGCGGGCCACTGCACGGACACGAGCCTGTGCTCCCCCAGCAGAATCTGCTTGACGTTGTCCGCTCCTGTCACGCGCACCGTGGGGTTCCCGAAGAGGTGTGTGCGGTAGATGTATCCGTACTTTTGCCGCTTCATCCGCAGGAACTTTCTCCTCTGGAAACACACAAGAGAGACGATTAAATAAATATCAACACTGAAACACACCTGTAGATCCAACATTAAAGGATTAAAATAAGTACAGACATGGATTCAGACAAATAGCCTACGACAAACATGATGTAGCCTATTTCAAGCTTGCCTCTGAGTTCTAAACAGTCAAGCTGGCTGAAATGAATTGAAAACGATATATTTTACTCCAATTAAATACAAACTAACCCTGTTGGTAAAAAGCTGCTGGAAGCGCAGACAGTTGAAAACAGTGTTATTTATTTACTTGAATAGAAATAGATAAAAGAGTTAAGTGAAATGTCCTCATAGTGTTTAGAGCATCCTTATCCACATGTTGATATTAGGCATCATACAGACTGTAGCTGTCATGCAGTTACCTGGAGGATGAGCTGCAGCGTCTCTCCAATGAAAGGTAACCCCATGGATCCGGGGGGCAGCGGGCTGAGGCAGCTCGGGTCTCTGCCTCGGATCATGTAAACCTCCCAGAGCTTCACCGCCACCAGAAACAGCAGGATGGGAAGCACGATGGTGCACAGTAAGGTGGCCAGCAGTGTGCTCAGAGCCATGTTGCAGCGGCTTCAGTGAAGGGCAGCGTCTTGTTGCAGCGTTGATCAGTTCAGGTGAAGCTCTGTCAGCTACTGGAGCTCTGGGCTGCTCATCCAGCGCTTTTATAGGCTGCCAGGACCGCGGGCAGCCGGTTACCTTCTCCTCCCTCAGATAAATTAGTTCACACAAAGTTCATCTTTAATTGTGGGTGTCGCTCGGCCCCGCCCCCGGCCTGTACTGGCTGCCTTGCCTCACCATTTGTTCCAAGGGCCGCATCTTTAATCCCTACCTCCTGTTGCACGCAGACAATCCGCGGCGGATTTCACTGAGAAAAGGTGATGGTTTTCTCCGAGACAATGGAAGCACGTCCCAAGACGCTTTTGTTGGCAATAAGGCAGCTAGTTTACACACTCATTAGCTTGGCTTAAGGCCCGCTAGTAGGATCAGTAATCATGCCTGCAGGGCAGCCTGCATTCAAGAGCAAAAAGCTTTTAAGCAGCACATTTTCAGCTGCTTCAGAAAATGGAAACGAGGCTCCGGGTTGAAGAGCGTCTTAATCCCCCTCCCTGTGGCTCTCACTGCTGCTATTCAAAGCTAAGCTTTCATTCCTTTAGTATATTTTATTTTTCTTTATTTTATAATGTGCGTCTGCAGCAATTGCACTTTTTATCATTTGATTTATGATATTTTCTAACTGACACATTTAACCACTTGGCTGTAATTATTCAAACTACCACCCTGATTCTTGGCTCTTGCCTTAGTGATGTGTCAATATAAGAATGACGCTGCATGTAAATGAAAGATGAAATGATGATTAACAGCTGACTGGAAGCAGCTCTGTCCTCTGTTTGACTCACAGCTTCTATCAGGACACTAACACATTCAGCCTCCTCTAATCTAGAAGCAGACTTTAACCTGCCCTCACTCCGCATCTGTGTGTGTTATAAAAATGATATCTCTCTCAGTGAGTTCAAACCTGGGTCAGCAGAGACAGGCGGAGGGACGGGCGCACGCACGCGCACGCAAGGTTATCCCCGGCTACAGCGCGTGAAAAGTAAACAGAGCGCAGCAGAGAAGGGGCTCATCAGCCAGTCACCACATCCTCACTCTGCGTTTGGACTCTGGTTTTTTTTTACGACCTGCCATAACGCCAGGAGTGTGTGTGGCAGGGCCAGTCAGTCAGTCAGTCAGTCAGTCAGTGAGACAGCTTGGCTGCTGCTTTTACAGCGACACATTACATGGATGTAATGTCTGTTCTGGCTGACTGTGTACGTTTTTAAAAGAGGGTGCCCTGAGCTTCACCCTGGTGGGAAGGCATGGCAACTATCGCTATTACAGTCACACACAAGCCCGGACATATAATCTGATCTGCCATCACGGCTTGGATGTAAAATTCCATGACTTTCCCTTGACGTTTTGCTGGTTAAAGCAGGGTGGCAACTAATTACCACTTTGGACACTGACGTCATGTTCTCTGTATTTTTCCTGGGAATCTATGGGTTTTAGCAGAATTAATTCATTTCTAGCAGTCCGGGGAATTTGAAAAAGCATGGCCCGATTGACCTGCTAGTGGGCCCAGGGTCAAAGATTAGCTGCATGGCCCCACCTGACCCCCACTTCATAGCACTCTGTGCAACATGCAGTCTTTCTCAGACAGGATATTACCTGGTCCATCACATTATATACTACTAAGTACAGTATATGGTACAGACATCAACAGGTTTTAATGTTGTGGCTGATCGGTGTACACCCAAACACTGTTTCAGTTAAATTAATACAAACCAGCTGACAAACAGTAAACCTGGAGCTCCAGAACTCCAGGAGCCCTCGGACATATCTCAGCTTTTCCCAGTTGGTAATCCAGTCTTGAGCCCTACATTGCCATTTAGAAGAGCCCTCATTATGTTGTCTTTACTTGTTTATACTGAACCAAACAAAGCCATCATCTCACTGACCCACAGTGATTTTAGATAGCATGCCTGTGTTCAGGCATCAGAGGCGTGATGTGTAACACAACAGTGTCGGTGACTGTCCTGTTACTGTCCTTTTACACAGACATCGATCTGTGACCACCTCCACTGCTGAATTATGGCCAGAACAACAATGCCCCCCCCCCATTCTATGCTCGTACCTTTTACACAGCACAGCGAGGTGTAATAAAGGTGCAACATTCCCACCTTGAACAGCTTGTTTAAAAGGGGCTTTGGGAACAGCATGTGGACCTTTATTTGGCTAATAAAGCAATAACATTATTATGAGTGTGCACTTTCCTGACAAGGAGTGGCTACATAATGTCTCCTGGAAGTAACTATGTAAGTTTAGGGGAATTTAAAAGCATTTTTTAAGAAAATCCCAGTTTTCAGAGAGTCTTAAAACAACCATCACAATAAAATAAAACTAATTCACATTATTGAACAGCTAACTCAATAATTTTGAAAAAAATAAAAAGATTTTGAGTTTGAGACTCTCTCTTGGGTGGGAAATTTTGTTTCATGACTGCAGTACAGGTACCAGTATTCTTACTTCAGCCTTTGGTCTCCACTAATCCATTCAATCCAGTTGGGGAAGTTGGAAAACTCATTTTGGTTGATGGTTCTAAGAGATTACTATGTTATATTTACTTGTATTCACACACTTCCACAAATAATTATGAAAGTGCCTGATTTGTCAAGAGAAAATGTGTCAGTCCGGAACAGAGAGACAGAGTATAAATACAGTTATTTTGACGATGAAATATTTTCATCTGGTTGAAGGAAGGTTTTTGGACTTGGACTGGAGCTTCCAGAACTCTAACAAGTCTGAACACAACAATAACAGTAAAGGTCTAATGATAAAATGCTTCTTTGTTCATGACATATACGTATTTGCTTGACAGTATATAGACTACTGAAAACTGAAGCCGACATCAGCTATAATATTAATGGACAAATCCTTGTTTACTCTGTGTTGGGACAGCAGTGGGTGATGCATGTTCAGGGTGAATGGGTTTCCAGCTGGACATGCTGTAGCTGGTGAGTTTTTCTCATCACAGTGTGAATGTGTGAAACAGGATTCTGCTGTTCAGGTGTGATAAAGCAGGAGGGGGGAGGAGGAGGGGTGGGTGAAGGGAAGTTCAAGTGTAGAGAATGATTCCCTGCTGTTTACATGTCCTCATCATGTTGCTCTAAGAACTCACTGTAAACCTGCAGACAAGCTGCTGGACTGACCAGAGATCTACAGCTTCACTGCAGCCACGTCTACAGTATACAGTTAGTGTATGCATGGATGTGACCAGAAAGGTACACTTTAATTTACAGTTTTTATCCTGCTCCAAATATATGTACTTTGCCCCACTTTCAGGTCAAAAACCTATAAACTGGAAATGTCAGAATATACTGTAAGATAACCCTTTTCACTCCATGAGCACCAACTACAAGACAAAGCATCAACTTCACACTCAGTGTATCTTGTAATCCAACAGAGTTGGATTGTAATGAATTAACTGGTCACCATGCTCCCCAGAGGATGAACCCTCTCCTCCAGCATCACCATCAGGACAGACTTTACAAACAGAGAAATAAACATGTTCATTCAGCCCATTATTGTGTAGGATCATGAACACTGCAGCTAGTAGAGACCACCAGAGAATCTTTAGACACCCACCTTCAAAATGAGAGAGGAGCAGCATAAGACAGTGAAACATGAGGTCTGTAGCCCAGACGTGACTTATTTTGTTTTTGTTCATTTGAACCATGCAGGTCACAAACATACCAGGGTGTTTGCCATTGAAAACACAATGTGTGCAGTCAAATACTGAAGTTAAACTGTAGGCCTGTGGTGTAAATGTACGGAGCCTCAAAACTGACAAAAGACAAAAAAAAAGGCATATCAGACAAATCAAAAATGTAATGTAAATGTAAAATTAATTTTGCTCTTTTATTTTTATTTCATCTATTTAATTGAGCACAAATTTTCTATTTCAGCAACCACAACATTCAGTATATCAACTTATTGGAGCTAAAGAAAAGAATACAAAGATTTTTTCACTTTCACCATGTGACTGGAGGTCAAAGGAAAAGTGTAAAGCTTTAATTTTCTTTTTACACCCAATTTAAGTGAATTAGCCAAATATAATTTGTTGGTATATTCAGTTATATTTTTGACTGGGATGATAATCTGCTTTTTGTCAATTTTGATACTCCATAGCAAGATGGCCTGGTAGAAAGAGTAAAGAGGTCATCTTTCACTCATGTTAAAGTAGAAATGCCAGAATGTAAAAAAATCCTTTCAAAGTAAAGTGTTCATTTAAAAATGTATTTATGCATGAAAATGATTAGCAATAGGCAAATGAAAAGTAAAAATACTCACTGAAGGTTGGACTCTAATGGTGAACAGTTATGTTCAGTTATGTCTGAATAATGCAAATACTATTGGGTCGTTTATTTTACAGCAATACATCATATTTACGAGCTTGTGATATGTTTTGTGGTTTAAATATCAAGCTCAATGGAATGTCATTGCTACAACTTTGAGTTATTATGCCACAACATTGTACAAACTACAGCTCCACTAGTCTCGAAGCAGAACAGGTAGAAATAATAAATACTCACCTGTCAGTAACTCAAACCTTAAACATATTATCTGAGTAAATGTATGTGGTTACTTTCCATCTGTGTTGTGATGATGATGAAAGCTCAGGCAGCATGGCTCTTTTCCAGGGCTACACACACACACACACACACACACACACACACACACACACACACACACAGAGCGCGCAGTCAGCACAAGCGACAAACAACCGCGGTGCCTGCGCGCGTTTGTAACTCTCCTCCCCCTGCTCGCGCGCTGGCTGACCTGCTTGTGACCCTGACATCTTGGTGAACTCTCGCGCGCAACCAAGTTCACTGGCCGTCACATAAACACACACCCACACACACACAGACACACACACACACACACGCACGCACACACACACACACACACACACACGCACGCACGCACGCACGCACACATACACACAGAAAGAGAAAAAGAGAGAGAGAGAGCCTATATGCTGCACAGACAAACAATTTTAACTGGCAGGTTACTTATTATTTTAAGTATCAAATACAGTCCACAA